TCTCGGAGGGTAGAAGGGTGAGAACCCCAATCTTTAATGGACATAATGTTCTTAATAAATAGGGAATGGTAGATAGCTACACTAGGGTCCTTTTTATCAGGAATTCCTTTGATAAAAATAGACTGGGTGAAGAAAAGGATATCTTGGTAAAATACAAAAGTTTTTTCAGGATGGGAAGGAACAAAGGTCCATCCTTCTCCAAGATAGGCATTGACCAAATCCAATGTATTGGTTAAATGGGAATGGATTGGTTCAATAGCAAATATGTTCATGACCGGGTTTTTGATGGTATAATCTGTCGATGGGCCTTTGGGTAGTGGGCCTGATCGATAGAATGGATCAACAAGAAGGCTGGTTGTTGGTGGCACTTGCTGGGCCATTTGGGAAAAGGTTTTTGGGTTTACTAGGGTAGGCTGAATTGGTCGGCTTAGTGGGCCAACTGGTCTACCAAGAGGTGTAAACCTGTTAGCAATGGTCAAGGCACTAGAATGGCCAGGAGCATTAGCTGAAGCATAGGCAGAATAGGTCGGCTTAGGTAGTAATGCCAAAGAAGGTGGGTCTTCTTCCTTCTTTACTGAGGCAATTGCTTGGGCTAAAATNATTAGCTGAAGCATAGGCAGAATAGGTCGGCTTAGGTAGTAATGCTAAAGAAGGTGGGTCTTCTTCCTTCTTTACTGAGGCAATTGCTTGGGCCAAAATTTGGTTAACTGTTGGTTTATCCTTGCCTGTTCCCCCCGGTTTTTTGGAGGAAGACGAGGGTTTAGTAGGTTTTTTGTCCGCCATTGGGTTCCTGCAAAAATTCACGAGTTAGGAAATCAGGGATGCAGTTATTACTGCCCTTAATATATTCTATGTCAAAATCAAAAATACTTAAAATGGATTGCCATCTGGCAAAAATTTGTTTGCTAGCAATATTTTGGACATCTTTTTGTAAAACATCTTTTGCAGATTTGCAATCAACTCGGATTAGAAATTTCTGATTTAATATATCATCCTGGAATTTTGAGACACACAGGATAATAGATAAGAGTTCCTTTTTAATAGTAGAATAATTTATTTGAGTTTTGTTCCAAATACCAGAATGGAAACGAACAATTTGTTCAGGAGAAT